TGTTTTAATATTGAAAAACCCTCCAATCGATCATCTCGACATTGAGATGTATGAATATAAAAAAGAAATATTTTGAGTCCCAAAAATAGTGCATCTTGCAGCAGATTATCTAAACCGTCTATTTTCAAGATTTTCATATGTTTATAGATCTACTTGATTTTAATTATTTTTTAAGTTTAAAATTTTATAATTAAATATAAAAATATATATTGAGATAATTTTAATAATTTTTTACACCAAAATTACATGTTATGATAAATTTTAGAGGTGTGTCTTAATTGAATTGTTTAAGATTGCAACCTTATAGACACATATATTTCACATTTAAGTTAACGCTTTGTTCTCCATTTCAGTTGTATTTAAGCCTATTTAAATTGTGGCGAGATTCAAGACACTCCAAACGTCCCGTCAACATGTGTCGACGTTTCCATTTTAGATACAATGAAAAAGTATTTAGAGCGCCGAGTTTGAACGCTTTCTACCAAGTTCATATTATCTATCATTTGCCGATCATACTTAGGTGTAATTGTTTGTATTTTGGGTTTTGTAAAATACATTGCTGTATTTCAATAAAATAATGTTTTGCATGGTTTTTTTAAGTTTTATTTTATAGAGAGAGAGGTGCGGGTGTTTAGTTCTACATTGAAAAGTTTTTTTTGTTTTTTTTGTAAGTAGGAAAAGGGCCCTTATTTTTGGTAAAGTTTTTAGTTTCACATTGTAGAGTTTTTTTTTTCTTATAAGTGGGGAGAGGGTCCTTATTTTTGGTAGGAATTAAGTCCACGACGTAGCATTGTTAATCGCCTAACCAATTAAGCCTCAGCTCTTTTCCTACATATTTTAGAGAGTTGTACTTTGCACTTACACTTTGCATTGGCGTATGAGGTGCCTCTCACCTGAGTGCATGTGCACTTCAGGATCGAGGCTCGATATCTTTTTGCAAGCATAACGTGTGCAAAAAATCTAACGGGCACTAGTCGTTGAAGACATGGAGGTTTGTAATAGATCGCAACTATCGAGATTAAAAGCGGTACATTTAACAGTTGACTATTGGCAGTACATATAACTACTTCAACAATAAATACGCATCCTCATAGTATTTTATATAACGGTTTACATTTCTTATTCGAAACACTATACAGTATACAATATTCTTTATACGAATTTTCAGAAAACAAAGCTCTCATCTCTCTTTCTCTCTCTACTCGTTTCACTCTTTTTCTCTCTCTAAAACATAAGACTGGTGCTTTACAATAGATTTCTAGTTCGAGTGAGTAAAACCTATAAGTACAATGACCTTCTGTTTTTCCCGAAGACGAAATACCATTGTTTATGTACACATTTCACAGTATCGAAGACGGGCGAATATCGTCTTAAGAAACAATAAAGGATTTTGACTGATTCATTCATATTTTTGCCCCTTATTTCATCAAATTGATTCCCAACATTAACAAATATAGGGGATTGTATACAATGAAACCATTTACCATTGATAAAAGGTGGTCACAATTGCTTATAACTAAATGAAATTTGATAGTTTAGGTATGTCACAAAATTCAAAAAAAAAAAAAAAAAAAAAAAAAAAGACATTGAAGTTTGAGCTTGGTCAATAGAATAAATGCAGCTGCCCAATTTCACATCTAATAGTCAAGATTAATTGTGACCACCTTGTACCAAAGTTAAATCGACTCATTTTATTATTTTTCCTAAATATAATCATCAATTATATATACATTGCAATTGCAATTATGCAATTTTATTATAACAATAAGAATTATAAAGACGTATTTTTCAAATTGGCATTATAGTGTCTGTAAGTAACACAGGTCAAAGGACAACGGTGAGAGAGGAAGATTTTCAACTCCATGGTTTTTGTCATTTGGAACTTGGAATCAAGTAATGTACAATGCACAAACAGTATGTTACATGTAGTTTAATAGCTTATAGAACCCATATAAAGGAAGAAAACAAAAAAAAAGGAAAAAAAAAACAACTCATACTCAACAAAGACTGGTCGGAATGTGTCTCAATGGGTGTCCACAACCACATGTCCCCCACTAAATGAACCACTGATGACACCAAATAAATGACACATACTTAGACCTCACCAATGAGCATTGAAACAAGGACCTGTCACAAGTTGTGCACTTCACTTATTAGGCAAATGGGCCACTCCACCGTTCCAATCTCCCATGCTATAGAATTAGGGTTTTCAATGTTAGCCTGCAGAATTGAAGTGTGTTATTCGTATGGATGTTGTTTCTACGGTGCTTAGGTTGAATGAAATCAAAGTAAAGTCTCACTTCGAATCCTTGTATGGAAAGCCCTTTGGGTAGCATAAATCTCCTCGATCGCCCTAAAATCAATTTTCAGCATTGAATATGAAATTTGAAGCCCAAAAGATGATACAAATCTTGCAAATCTGTGAGCACTTGTTTTTGGGGTGAAATATACAGCTTGGATGATGTGTTATAATATACAATATTTTTAGGGTTTTAAATCTCTTTTTTTTTTTTTTTAGCCATAATGATCAAGGCCAAAATGATTCATTTGAGAGTTTTTCGATGCCAAAACCATAATTTTTAGTGAGTTTTGAGGTGAAACTTTGTTTATTTTGATAGGGTTGCACCCCTGTCAAAACATTTTCCTATTCATAGATTCAATTTATTGTGTCAGTAGGCAAAACTAGCACATAGGCAAGTGTAAAGCCAAAACGTGGGCTTGAACTTGAGTGGTTAGCAATTAATATTATCAATGCAAAAATGTGGGCTTGAGCTTGAGTGGTTAGCTATTAACACTATGAATATTGTATTTCAAGTTCAAATTCAAAAAATAAAAACCAAAAAAAAAATCCTCACTCGGCATGAATATTACCAAAACAGTAACTTTAGGCCAAAAATAAAAAATCCTCACTCCATATGGTTATTACCAAAAGACTGCCAACTCGAAAGTCAAATCTATCTCTCATCCACCCTCTCAAAGATGGGGTTTTTAATAGTCGGCTGACACCTATGTATACATCCGACCCCCTCTAAAATCTATTTTAAATATGGATTTTTTATTTAAGATTCATCATCTAGCCATGATCATGAATATGAAAAAAAAAAAAATTAAAAAAAAATTAAGATTTTTTGGTGCACTATCTACATGGAACCTACGGAGGGTGCACCTTATACAAAGTCCATCTTTATGACGGAGGTTTATGAGGTAGCGGGCTCTGGTGGCCACTGACTTACACGACACTTTTTCTTCTCTCTAGAAGCTTTTTACCTTGGGAATCAATCTCCCAACAAATCAATGTAATCGCTTCATGTGTCTAAGTTCTATTTTTGTTAGTTTTATTTCTTTTAAGATCAATTGACACTTTGATAGGAATGAAACTCTAAAGGTCATGTTATGCCACTTTGCCGCTTTGACTACCTCGGGCCAGAGGTCATTCTTTAAAAAGATTTCCACCATGTCTGATTTATGTGTTATCCATGCACAGGAGCTAAACTAATCTTCTCTGTACCGTTACAATTTTATGTGATATCTTCGAAGAGACAGCGATTCAGACGTATAAATTTGTCCCTTCTATTGTTGCTCTACTAAAAAGAAATATGATTTAAATCGTTGTAGTTATCCTACTTATTTTATACCATGTTTAGAACGCATTTTTTCAAAAAAGACTCCAATTCTCTTGAGAAACACTTTAAAAGGATGGTTTCCAACTTTTCATAATATGTTAAAAAAAATATATATGTTTTCTATTAATCATCATTCAAAAAACTCTTAAAAAAATCTTCATAAAAATTGCATTAAAGTCCTGTACTTGCATCTCTCTCTCTCGGTTTCTTGGACCAAGCCCCGCGTACTCACCACTCTGTCTCTCCCCCTCCTCTCTCTCTCTCTCTCTCTAAATTTTGCTTTGTTTCTACATTTGATCTGCCAAAGCTCTACCATAGAACTTGGTATTCATATGTATTGCTTTAACTTTAGTTTGTTGAATGAATATTACTGTTAACAAAGTCTTAATGATCAATGTAAAAAAAAGGTGATCTAATATTTGATTACTTATATTATCAATGACAATGTTTATTCATTGTTTTTACTTTTACTGCTACTCCCAAGATAAATTCACCTAAAAACATAAACTTGTACATTCATTTTTAAGTTCAATTATTTGATTCAAGTCCAAATCAATCACATCATTTTTTTCCAAGCTATTTTCGGAATTCTTTACTTTTTAAGTCAGTTTTCAGTATGAATCCTGTAGCCCACAGATTTATTCTGTTACGCAATTTGCTATGTTTTGTTTAGGGGAGGCCATAGGACGGGCCTAGTCCGGGCTGCCCCTGGCCATCGTTCCTGGAGGGCCTGCCCGAGCCCAACTAGCCCTAATACGGCTGAAGAGGTCCTAGGTAGGCTAGATATAATTAACTTCAGCAAAAAAAAAAATAAAAAGAAAAAAAAGTCGGGCTGGGCTGAACTAAGTTGGCTTTGTTGTAGGCCTCACCCAGCCCTTTTCTCAGGCCATGGTTGCCCGACCCTTGAGGGTACCTTATTTTTTTAGGGCCAGCCCTAGTACTTTTTTTCCTACTTTCAAATTATATAATGGACGCCTATTTCATTGCCAGCCCTAATACCTTTTCTCCAACTTTCGAATTATATTATGGACACGGTTTCTATGAGTTTATATAGAAATGAGTCACCTCTTAAAAATCTATTTTTCATATAGATTTTTTTGACCTAATTTTTTAGGACATATAATCTCTAACCTGGAGATCATGAATATGAATGAAATTAAATAAATAAATTTTAAAAATAAAAATTAATAATTTTATTAAAAAAATATGTAAACAGTTAGTTTCAATTAATTTTAGATAGACCATCTATTTAAGATGGATGTTTTATACTTTGGGGACTGCACATGTAGAAATGCGGTCCCCGCCGCATGAAACAATTTTCCTTATATAATTAACAAGTTACGAAGTGATGACATCCACCTCTGTTCCTCCAAATAAATGATTTTGTTTGGGACTTTTGATTTCACCTGCATTGGAGAAGTCTCTCTCGAGCTATTTAGGAAAATTCTCCCCCTCTCTTTCACATGAGAATCATTCTCTCTCTCTCACTTGTTCAAATTTGAGGCCCTGAAGCCACCCGTGAAGCTTACCCATCAATTAATGGAGGTGGATTCAGTACCAGACAAGCCTTGTGATCCATTCCCGATGATTGGGGCCTCTGAGCTTGCAGAATTATCGCAAAACAGTGGTTTTTGTTATGAGTTTGTGGGGCTTCAATGGCTAAGGTCTAGGGTTTTGCTGGTTGGTATTGGATAGTGACAACGCCCTACAGAAAAGGGAAGAGGAATCTAGCCCTGGTTCGCCATCAAACATCAAGTACAGTATGGAGCCAACTCTCCCACATGGCCAGCTTGCAAGAATTTGAAACCAGAAGCCTCCAATTCATGGTGCTCTTTGTGGGTCTCTGTGTTTTGCTTTCTGGCTGAGTGGGTCTCTCTTGTTTCAATGATTTGTGTGCACATTTCATCAGGATAAAGCTCAACCTAACCGAAAAATGATGACACCATCTTACGGGCGTTGATATTCTTGGCTTGGGTTTTGTTTTTGGTTTGTGTTTTGTTGGGTTTCCTGCTTTTCTGCCCCAGACCAAGGGAAATGGCTGAATTGTGTAGTAATGATTTGAGGAGTGAGAGGTTGTCTGGTTTTTATTCCTATTCGAGGAGTTTCAGGGCCACAAGCTGTAAGAATTTGAATTACAGGAATGGAGATGAGAGGCTTTTGCCCTCTAAGAGGGTAATGTTTGAGAATGTAGGATCTTTGAATGCGAAGAAGACCTCAGTTTCAGAAAAACAATTTGGTAATGGAGATAACAGAAAAATGGAGAAGAAGAAGAGTGGGCTTCCTGATTCTAGGCCTGTTTCGCGCTCTTCTTCTTGTTCCAGTGATTCAAAGCAACATAAGAACATGTATTTGGGCTCCCCGATAGGAAACTTATACATTGCAGGAACTGTAAATCGAGATATCAGAAACTTTCCTTCAAAACCGAAGGTTTATAGAAATGAGATTGTGCCAAACGATGAGACCAATCAACTGGCTTGTAAAGACTCAAACCGATCGTTATCAAACCATCATGTTTTGGGTTTTGGAAAGCGAAATTATGGACATGGGAATATCATCAATGGGATGGGAAATATGGAAGCTTCGAGAGCGAGAAGCAGTTCGAGTAGTGCTAATACAAAGAAGGGAGAATATGTTTGTCTTGGTTCAGGAGGAACTCTCTCTAGTTTAAATGCAGAGGAGTTGAAAAATGCAGGCAATGATGCATATAGGAAGGGGTGCTTTGCCGAAGCTATTGCATTTTATGATACAGTCATTGATTTGTGCCCAATGAATGCTCCTTGCCATAGCAATAAGGCTGCAGCTTTAGCTGGCCTTGGGCGCATTTCAGAAGCAGTGAAGGAGTGCCAGAAAGCAATCAAATTTGATCCCTCTTATTTGCGTGCTCATTATAGACTTGGAACTCTTTATACTAGGTATCATCTTTTCTTTTCCTTTTTCAAACTTCTTTGTGCGTTTTACACGTTACTGTGAAATATATGAATAGAGTACCTGGTACTTGCTGTCTAATTGTTCTTTGATTACTAGCATACTTGTAGCTTGGTAAATATAGACTCTCACATGTAATCCTAGCGTTTGAATTGTAAATCGTTGATATTTCTATTGGCACCTAGAAAAATCTCATTTTGGACAAACGCCATGATGCCAACATCTGCTAAGTTCAATCAAAACTAGCTAACAAATCCTATGTTGACTCATAGTTGTGGTGACATGGATAATACCCACCAGATTTACGGGAGATGACTACTTCATAGTTTTGGAAGAAACTCTCTGGAACCTCATGGAGATGGGATTGGCTCCAGTGTCATCTATCACATTTAAGCATGTCTTCTTCAATTTCATACTTGTAGCTGTTTTGCCTACAGTTGAAGTAATTTCTCAGTTAACTCTAAAGAAAAGAGGTGGTTTATCTATTTGATGCTTTCTCTTGCTATGCTGCGCCACTGAGCACTACCAGACCAGGAATCATTGAGTATTCACTCTATAGAAGACATTTGATTTTAGTGTTGATGTGTTCCTAGGTAAAGCTGGTAGAATGTCCAAATTGGGGATATATCAAAGCCGGTAGAATGTCCAAATTGGGGAAATATCTCTTATAATAGAGGAAAACTGCTCTCCATAAAATGGAAATATACAGGACTTTCATTTGAAGTAATATGGTTTTATTGTACTTTCATAGGTAGATAATCGGATTACAGGGATAAGAAGCTCCAAATTCAGGTTCCAATGAAAGTAGAATGTTTTAAGTTCCAATGAAAGTAGAAGTGGTTTACTTACTTGTTATGAATTATTATCTTAGACAAATAATCAAAAGAAGAAGTATAACGTTGTATAAATACTGTGCTGGTGATATCTCTGGTCGTGCACACCTGCTTCCTGATGAATATTGTTGAACCACATAGAGTTTCATGTTCCTATGGTATATTCTATCTGCTGAATTTTTGTTTGATGAGTGCCTCCAATTGCAATAAAAGAAAGATAGGTAATTTACTAAACTTATATGCCTGGTATTCTTTATGAAGACTAGCATATTGTGAATCATTTGAAAGGCATGCTCATCTGTGTCTTTTTTTTTCTCTTTGTTTAATGAATAACTGAGATCTTCTGTTCAAGGTGATCACATAATACAAGATTTGGACATACTTGTGACCAACAATGTAATGGGGAATGATGATGTTTCCAATGCTCTCTTGATGGTTTACTGTAGCCAAAACTGCAATTATCCAGTCCAGATATTACTTTGATGAACTGATTAGGTGCAAATCTTCTTTATAAATTTGAATATTTGAATATTCACTGAAAATTTAACTAGGAGAAGAAAAATCAGGGAGACTATGATCTTACATGTTCTCATCTTCATTACGAACTGCTATGTTCAATTTGTCCATTTACTTTTTGTACATCTTCATTCCAGGCCGCTTAGGTAGTTTGTCACTTTACTTCTAGTATGATTTAGAGATTGATGTTGTGATGTATTAAACGTACCAGGTTAGGCAAGGTTGAAGATGCTAGATGGCATTTCAAATTATCAGGAATGCAATCTGATTCCGACATGTCCAAACTTTTGGCTCTCGAAACCCATTTGATAAACATAAGAAAAGCTCAAGGTGTTCAAGATTGGAACAGGGTATTGATATACAGCAGTTTGGCTATAGAGGCAGGAGCTGATTCTTCATCTCAGGTACCCAGGAAATGCCTCTATGGTGATCTTTTTGTAGACCAACTTATGAGAAAAGAAAGATTCACAAGTAAAAAATAAAAAGAAAAATAAAATAAAAATTCAAAACATTTATGAAAAAAAGGAAATATGGTTTTGTTCCTGTTGCAGCTGCTTGCTTTCAAAGCTGAAGCTCTGTTGAAGCTCAATAAAGCAAAGGAAGCTCTTGATGGTTTGGTGGCAGCAAAAAACATAGATAATGATAGATTGACCCAATTTTACCGAGATGCTTGCTTGCTAATCGTTGAGACACAGATTTACATGGCCTTAGGAAGGTATCAGGATATGTTTTTCCATCCTCGCCTATTGATTTCCTCCACTATTACAAACTTGTTTCAGTTTTGATATCACAGGTTTGAGGATGGAATTAGATCTGCTGAACAAGCATTCAGCTTAGATTGCAAACCTGAATCTTTGATGTGGCTAAGAAAGGCTCAAGCAGTGACTGGTGCTCGTAGGAGTGGGAACGAGTTTTTCAAAGAGGGTAAGTATCTGGAGGCATGCATCTCCTATGAGAAGGGATTGGTGCATGCCCCAACAAATAGTATTCTTCTGTCAAATAGGGCAGCGTGCATGTTGAAGCTTGGGCAGTGGGAGAAGGCCATCAAGGATTGTGATTCAGCTCTCATAAATCAACCGAGCTATACCAAAGCACTTCTACGACGTGCCCATTGCCATGCCAGAGTAAATTTGCTTTTACTCCTTTTGATGTAGTTGAAAACTGATCAGAGAATCAGATATAGTCAAAACTTGAAATGACCGGAGTAATTTTCATTTTTCTTTTTGGTGGATTGAAACAACCGATAAGAATGCAAATGTATTTAGTAAATTGTTATAAGTTAGGTTAGGGGAGCAATTTTTCAGAACAAAATGAGAAAAAACAGAAGAACTTTGTGCCCCCCTAATTGTCTTGGAACCCAAGCACTAATTTGACGTCCTACGAATAAATTTCCACTATATGAATTTATAATTTTTTTAGTAGAGTTAAGGATACATTAGGACTCTTTAGATTCATGGGTCTCCTTAAAGTTTGAACTGTATTGAACTTGTTATTCCGTTGTTCAGCTTGAGCATTGGGAGGAAGCTTTGAGAGACTATGAAATCCTGAGCAAGGAGATGCCTCAAGACCTTGGTATAGCCCGTTCTCTCTCTGAAATACAATTCGAGCTGAAGAAATCCCAAGAAAGGGAAGCTCATAAAATGCAATGTGTCAGAGAAGTCATGAATATATGCAACAATGCCCAATTCGTCATTGCTATCAAATCAGCAGGTGGTCAGAAGGGATTTTAGATCTGGGGCCATTTTGCTATTATTTACTATTCTGCTCCCATTCTTCATTCTTCTTCATTTATTAATCATTCTCTAGAAAAGATAAAAAAGCAGTGCTATCATGTCTCCTTGTGATTCTCTCTGGTTTGACAGGTCTCATGCTTCTGCAATTCTTTAGAAAGTCAGATGAGAGGTGTAGGCAGCTTTCATCACTAGTTAATGAGCTTTGCCATCGATACCCTTCTTGGAGCTTCTTAAAGGTAACTGAATTCATTAAAATCATGTTGCTTGAATTTGCTATATTTGGTAGAACCATATATTTCTCTATTTATGTGGCAATTTTAATCTGATAAAATTTATTGGCATGTTTCACAATCACAAAATCATGAATCAGGTTCTCAAAATATTAGCAACATTCATCTAACTCCAAGTCTCTTCCCTTGGGAAACTGAGAATGATACTATTTACCATTCCGCCCTGTCATGTTTGTAAAACACACACTGAAGGAAGGAATAATTAGAGGGAAAAAGGTTATTTGGCCCCGCTTAATCTCCTACCTGGAACGTACCCACGTCACATTATTCTTTCAGATATTTCAAAAACTAAAGTCATAATCTTGATATTCTCATAACCGACATTGATTTTTATGAAACTGGCCAAAAGTTAATACTAAAGTAGAACTTGGGGATGGTTATTCTATGCAACCCTGGTGCATCAGATCCCATTAGAACTTAAAAAGTGTTGTTGGATGAATGGCCTCATGGCAAATTATTATTCTATATGAAAAATAAAACAACATATTATATATGTTGTTTAAGAAAAAAGAAGGGCCTAAGCCCTTAATGCTTCTTGAAATTTCTGCAGTGTTACTTCCCTCTGAACTCAAACAGGAGTCAAAATGTTCTTGGGAGGATGCTATGATATTTCTCGTACAAAACCTTAATCTCGGCTGAGTTAAACAATGTTACCCTTTGTCCGTTTGCGTAGGTGGATGTTGAAGAGAACCCGGATTTGGCAAAATCCGAAAGAGTGAAATTCGTGCCTGTGTTCAGAATATATAAGAATGGTCTTAAGCTGAGGGAGATTCTGAGTCCAAATCAACAGATACTCGAGTTTGCTTTAAACCATCACAGCCGGTGAGTTTCATGCATATATAAGTACACATGCATATGTGACCATGATGCACAGTAGGAGATACTACAATGGGTTGGAGTGATTATACATAGCAATTGAATCCTGTATTTGAGAGAGAGAGAGAGAGAGAGAGAGAGAGAGAGAGAGATGTGTATTGGAATTAAATTGGTGCATATCATAAGTGAATTTAAATAGAAGTAAATGGAGGATTTTATATTGTTTGGGATTCATATATTGTGGACTTTGAGCAGAGGAATGCACGCACCAGCGGTGAAATGGACATGGGGGGTGTGAAAATTTTATCGAATGAGCTCATTGTAAACATTACCAAAGTAATTTATAATTTGATGAACATGAAATTACTATGGGGGGTGTGAAAATTTTATCGAATGAGCTCATTGTAAACATTACCAAAGTAATTTATAATTTGATGAACATGAAATTACTATGGTCCCTTTCATCGTGCTTTCTCTATCAAGAGCAACAAATCAGCAATCTCTCTATATCTGCAATCCCGAGGCGCTCTATATAAATCTAGAGCCCCAAAGTTTCCCACTTTCTCCACCCTCCTCCCTATTTACCTTTCCACCCTGCATCATTGAGTTCAAGAGATATTTGTTCAGGACCATGTACACACTCTCTTGACTGGACAAACAGGATCGTGAAAAGAGACTTTCTGGAAAAACTAAGAAAATGGATTTCTTGAGGAGAGAAATTGCAGGGAATCCAAACTATTGGATTCAGCATTCTAAATAGATTTTATCCAGGCCATATTGTGATTTAGTGACCCTAATGTTTCTAGATTGCCTCAATATCAATGTGGATAATTGGGTGAATATCAAAACATATGCCTGCATATGTTGCATTCATCCATGCTACAAATCACATGCATTAGCATGCATGAATCTTAGGATATATGCATGTCGCAGTTTTCTTGTTTATCATGTTTTCAGCCACAATTTTCCCTATTTAGTGTGTATCTGCATGTGCACGTGTATTAGCAAGTGTGTGTGAGCATGCGCACACGTACACGTGGGTGTGCCAACAGAGGTGACAGAGAGGGGGACAGGTTACTTAACCTCGAATGATACCTCTCTACTTTGTTAGACCTTCGAAAAGTAGTGAAATATCAATAGCTAATGAAATTAGAGTTGTATACACTAAAACTTGGAATTACGTACAAAACCAGAGGGTAGGGAGTGATGCATTAAAGATTCATTCCATGTTATTAGACTAGCTTCAAGCACATCTCATACCGAATTTTCATCTTTTTTTCTTTTGTGCTGAATGTTATGTTTTTTCTATGCATGCGTGTTAGAGAGAGAGAACCTCAAACCAGTGTTTCGCAAACTCGGATGGTCCAAATCGGAACTGACCAGTCAAATCGGAACTGGGCATTGGCCGATCCAGTTTTGGAGGTCCAACTGAGTATTTTAAAAAATATTCACAAAAATTATATAAAATCCCAAAAAATAAGTATTTTTTTATAATGTGTTTTTTGAATAAGGCAAAGATTGTAAAGTGTTTTGATGATAAATACTTATTTTTATATTTTTTGACCTTTTTAAGAAATTTTTAAAAATCCCCTGGTACAAATTGATTTTTTAAAGTCTATCTTTTCACTTATTTTCAACTTTATTTGGATGTACTTTGTTTAGTTACGCTTTAAATATATTTTTTATAGTTT